ATACAGAAGAGACGTTTCGGCTGACGTATGTTTCCGAGGGTCATGATTAAGGGCTACTAGGTTAACCAAAGGATTGACACGCGGCAAGACGTGCAGGGGAATTCTGATTGTGCGATCGTGCTTCATAAATGGGCTCAATGGATGGGATGTTTGAGGCTTTTCATTATCCTGTAGTTATCTTGTAGGGTTTAATTTCACTTCTTCAAGGTCGAAAGTAGGTTTGTGTTTGGCCCAAAGCCTCTTTAAATGTATTATCGGCTGTCTGGTGGTCCTAAGCCGCTCAATTAGTGCAGTTGAGTCCTATTGCAAGAAGGAGTGATTTGGATAAGAGTGGATGGGTCAAAGTCCTAGTACGATAAGGGGTCATAATACAATGAGGATTCTTGGCCAAAAATGAATACGGCCTGAAAAGGGGGTGAGTTCAAAGTCCTAATAGGAGTAGGATTAGTCGAGATAAGGTTAGATCAGAATGAGAAGTCCTAGTCTGAATATAGTTTCAACTCGATCTTAAGGAGGATTTGTTGCTATAAATAGAGAGCAAAGTGCATCATTCAAAGCCCCTCAAATTCAGCACACAACTGCCTTGCACAAACCTCTCAAACATCTTGAGATTTTTTATTTTCTTTTTCCGCCAACACACCTTTAGTTTAGATAAACAGCACTGTGAAGGCAACCGGCGAACATCTTCAGTTTGGATAAACAACACTGTTGCCGTAGAATCAGCTGACCGAGGAGCATCTTCACTTTGGATAAATAGCATTGTGTCGAGGCCAACTGGTTACCCATCCAAGTCTCGGTCGAGAAAGGTTTCCGAATCCTTATTGGTAGAGGTCATCTTATTAGCCTTCTCAACGAGGTAAGGTGTTACAAGTTACGACATTCAACACATTAAACGTCGAGTGATTTTATGATTGGATACTCACAAGTGAGTTTCAAAGTTTGACATTCTGACGGCCAAACCACATTTACCATTAAGACATACATCTCCTTTGAGTACTTGTGTCCATATAGTCTGGTGTCGATTTGACGTGCTTATACTCTTATGAATATAATCACTGTGACCGAATCCGGCATCGACGATTCGTGAACTTCGCAGAACTAGCAGCCTAGTCTTCAGGCTCGAGAACCTAAGGGCCAAGACTTGTTCCTTCCTCGGCCATAATCGCAAGATCAAGAAGTCAGCAATGCGCTCAACTCAACATCAACAAATTGTACTTCTCGGCCAAGCTCTGCCGATGAGTTGGCACGCCCCGCATCAACCAAAGGATGTAGTTAGCTCATTAGTTACTCGGCCTATGCGCCACGTAGGCTTGGTAGTTTTTAGGGTCAACAGTAACAACCATAAAACAGAATATTATTAAGAATATGGATAGAAAACACCTTGAAAATAAACTTGAATCGTTAAAAGCTCTCCAAAGGCAAAGTATTGCGTTCTCCCCCCCCCCCCCTTTTTTTAACCTAATAGCTAAAAAGCCTTATTTATACTACTAGAAAATAAAATTCTTCCTATAAAAGGTCTTCGAATAAAACTAGGAAACATAATAAAATAATAAAACAGAAAATAAAAGGTTTCTTATTTGAACTAGAATTCAGAGTTCTTAGAAAATTAGTCTTTTGACTAACCAAATCAACTCCAATTTAGTCCAATAGGTCTCTTTCGAAAGTTGAAGTCGTCCCCTACAAATTCTTAGAAGGAATCTTCCTCACAATATGACATTTTGACCTCCAAAATACCCAAAACGTCAAGAAATGTCAATCTAGGAAAGCTACGCGTTGGACCTTCTTTTCATCGCCACAGTCAAATGGCTTGGTAGAAAAATCTAGAATTTTGATACAATCATCTTGAAAGGCACACGAACATCTTCCAATTGGAATCACTGCAAAATTCATCCGTTTGATTACTTTTTTTGCTCCAGAGGAAGCCGAATGTCCTATATTGAAAATATAAAGCAAAGTATCAAAATTCTACCAAAATAACCAATAAATTATAACTAAGATTAGGGTCAAATATGTAGTATAAAATGGACTCATCACTATGCATTTATGCATTTAGAGCTTATTATGTTGCACCACGGTGTTAGTGCTCCCACTTGAGGCCAGGGCACAGCTTTCACATGATTATTCACCTCCCGCACTGCACGCTCACCTTGGATCCAAGTTTTGGTGCTAGCCTGTTGTACAGACCATAATAGGTGGTTTCGACTCATAGGTGACCCGTGATCTATCGCACAGCTTTCACGTGATTGTAGCACTTGAATGTACTTATTTACACCCAGCCCGTCGTACAGGTCACATTAGTTGACTCCATCTCGTGTGTAGACATATGTTGATAAGCTACAGGTCCAGTCGTATAGGCCTCGTTAGGTGACTCCAACTGGCATACTATTTTATATTAGTTTCACACCTGGCTTACACTTATTCTTGCTGAGATATTGTGACATGGCATACTTCAGTTTTCACTGCTCTTGTGCATTCATTTTTCCTACCTATGTAGTAGTATTTTCTGGAAATTATACAAGTTTTACGAAGAGGGATTATTATGTTCATAAAGATAAATGTGTTTTCAAATGCTTTGTTTTTGCCCACTCATCCTCCTGTTTTGCGCCCCTCCAGGTTCTAGGTAGCTGTTTGTCTTTGGTGGCTCACGAGGACTATATGGCGGTTCTAACATTTCCATAAATAAAATTAGGGGTCTTCTCCCTATTTGTATAATTAGTACTTAGTTAGTTCGACTGCACTTTCGTTTTACCTATGCTCTGATATGCGTGTATCTTATATTTGATCACTTTCACACACTCACATAGTATCTCTATTTAAATAAGTTTAGTTCAGTTTTTTTTTAATTATTCACATTTCTTTTATTAGTATCACTTCTGTTATGCACTTGGCTACGTCACTCTCATGTGACGGCCAACATGTCTCAACTCCGGTCAGGGTATGTCACTCAATGATAATGATCCTTGAGGTAATTCTTGTTAATTTCATTTTTTTTATTCATGATGGAGTGATGTTCTTTGATCTAATTGTTAGAATCCCGAAAAATTTTGATTTAGTATGAACATCCTGATACTTGTGCAGAAATTAACTATTTTGTTTATTATTGCTTCGATTTGGTTCGAAACGAAAACCATGAGTTATCTTTGGAGTTTCTATGTTTGCAACACTGTAGAATTGTTTAATCTATATATGCTTTTCGGTGTTATTGAAAAGTTTGTGTATATGATTAAATTGGTTTTTTACAGTAATGTCTCTAGTGAACGTAGATTGAATCAAGAGCTTAGAGTTCTCTTTTGTGATTTCATTTACATGTCTGCAGTTCCCCTTAAAACCCTTAATCTAGCAACTGTTCCGATTCTCACTGGTGGAAGCAATTATAAGAGATGGAGGCGTGAAATTGGTCTATTGCTAACTCTAAATGAGTTTGATATTGCATTAAGCACGCCTAAGCCATCACCATTGATAGATAAAAGTACCAAATCAGAAAAAGATGATTTTGAAAGGTGGACAAGGGCCAACAAAATTGCTTTATCCATTCTTGAAAGTGGGATGGCAGACATGGTGAGAGGAGTAGTTAAGAAATAAGATCTCGCAGTTGATTATCTCAAGGCCATTGAAAGCAAGTTCAAGGAATCTGAGAAGGCTGAAATTAGTTAGTATATGTCTATGTTGACAACTTACAAGATTGAAGGGAATGCATCACTAAGAGATCGTATAATGCAGATGACAGATGCTGCATAAAAACTCAATTCTATGGAAGTGAATATTGGTGAGAAGCAATTGGTCTTTATGATACTTCAAGCTCTTCCAGCAAAATATAGTCAACTAAAAGTGTCATACAACACTCAAGACAAGACTTGGATTGTGGATGAATTGATTGCTCAATGTGTGCAAGAGGAAACTCGGTAGAGGCAAGAGAAGGGTAAGGAGCCAGAATCTGTGAACTTCGTGCAAATTGGCCATAAAGAGACCATTGTGATTTCTGGTAAGGCATCTAAACCTTTGAATTATGTTGATAAGTCTAGTAAGTTTGCTAAATATTTCAAACCCTCTAAATCTAACAATCTTAGTGTCAAAATAAAAGATGTGACTAAAATTAGATGTCATCATTGTAAGCTTAAAGGTCACCATAGAAAGGATTGTGAACAATTCAAGGATTGGCTAAGGAGCAAAGGTAGAACTAATGCCTATGTTTGTATGGAGTCAAACTTGGTTAAAATTCCTGCAAATTCATGGTGGTTTGATTCTGGATGTTCAGTGCATTTAACAAACACATTGCATGGTTTTGAAAGATAAAAAAAAATTGATAAGTTTTCTTATAATGTTTATGTTAGAGAAGGGTCAAAAGTAGCAGTTGAAGCCATTGGAATTGTAAAATTGAAAATGCAAACTGATTTTGTTCTTGCATTGAAAGATGTTTTATATGTCCCAGCCATGAGAAGAAATTTGATTTCTGCATCCAAATTAGTGAAACAAGTTTTGGTTTTCTCTGTGATGATGACAACATTAAGTTTTTAAAAAGAAGTAAATGTGATTCACTTTTATGGACAACTACTTTATATGATGAGACTTATAAGAAAATCCAAACAATATAATACCTAAAAGAGTAATGTTATTCATATCATGTTTTTGTACCATATTTTCATACCACCTTAGGTGGCATTTGATATGGACAGCCACATTATTTGAATTAATCATATTTTTAAATTTAGTTCATTATTTAATAAACTAATAATTAAGAAAAACTAGTTAATTAAATGATGATTGTTGTATACGAGAAGTCTTTCTCATTTCTTTCCTTGAGTTTTGCAAATTTTTCAAATAATGTGACTATCCATATCAGATGTCACCTAAGGTACTATAGAAATATGGTATAAAAACATAGTATGAATAACATTACTCTACCTAAAATACTAATATTCCAACAAATATATCAACGTTAACACAGTTTTAGGCCCCGCTACATCGTAGGGGCTGCTCGTTGGTTCTAAAAATAGCTAGCCAAACAGACAAGTGACAATTGAATGTCACGAATCGGCACAGGATGATAATTTGGCTTAGCCCCGAAGAAATATAATAGTTCTATCAACAACAACCAGCGTTGTAACGTGGGTGAAAAGATAGAGCAATTCCATTTAAAGATCAAGGTTAAAAGCCCTTAAAAGGACTCAATGTGATATACAATGCTTTTAATTTTGATTGGAGGAGAATAAAGAGGAAACTTAGAATTACAGGGTTGGAGCTCTTTCGATAGATCCACCAATGACAGTAAGCAAGTTGTTGCCGAAGGGATCGCTGAGATGCTTCGATAGGTTTTCGACAGGACCTTCTCCGGTGACATACGCTTGGAGGAAGAAACCGAGCATGGAAAACATGGCAAGTCTTCCGTTCTTAATCTCCTTCACCTTTAGCAATGCAGCCTGGTCTGGATCCTTAGCCAGCCCCAATGGGTCAAAAGGACCACCTGGGTGAAGCTTGTCCTCCAATTCCTACAACAGAGTCATGAGATTGTCGTCATCGGTTCTTCTTGCAAGTTTCAAATTAACACTAGGTGGTAATATAAGTACGTACTCCGGTGTGAATTGCGATATGGTTAGTTTTATTGTACAAATAAAATAGTCGGACAAACTTTCAAAAGTTGTAATACCTTTTGTTAGTATTCGGAGTTGTCAGTTCGGATAATAACAGCAATGCTATAATTAACTAAAGTGAATTCTAGGTACGTACCAAACCGTTAGTGATTCTGTAGTATTCAGCTCCACCAAGAAGAACAACCTCAGCAACAACAGCGAAGATAAGATTAATCGGTATGTTCTTCCCAAAGTAATTCAGTGTGTTCCCATCAAGGAGTAGAGCTCCTGTCTGCATTCATGTCGTCACCATGTGTACAAAAAGCGTCAACAATATTTCAAACGTCATAACTCCAATTGGCAATTACTCAACTTGCAATAATATGTATGTATGTATGTAATGTATGTTTGTAAAATTTCAAAGAAAATGGAATGCGAATGAATGACCTTGAACCAAACAGCCTCAGGGCCGCAGTTAGCTCCGAATTTGTTGAAGGCCTCTGGAATGATGAATCCGGCTGCACCAAGCATAGCCCACCGAGCGTGGATCAGCTCATATGCTTGGTATCTGCATTCACATTCATCAATTAATTAAATTGAATTAAGGAGAAATTAAGTAATAATTTCTCAAGAGAGACAGATGAGAGAGGATACTTGCTGAAGTTTTCTGGCTTCTTGCCAAGCCCAAAAGGATCATATCCATAACTGCATTAAAGGAATGGACAATCCAGGATTCGATTAGATTCTGGTAATTAATTATTAATTAAGTAGGCAGAGAGTGGGGGGAGGGAGGGAGAGAGAGAGAGAGAGAGAGACTACTATCTTACTCTCCAGGAACTTCTCCAGTCAAGTACTCTGGGATCTCTGATCGGTCCAAGAGCCCCGACGGCAAGAAGATTCTTCTATCAGGACCTGAAATGCGAATACCACAATTATCATCAAAGTTCTAAGACGCTAGGCGTTAGTCGGGCAGTGAACTAGGGTTTAGCGCCTAGGTTGGGGCGTAGGCAAACTTAAGTAAATTTATTATATATGATATAAATAAATGCATGTTTATACTTAAAAAAATGCATAATTATATTTGGATACATAAATTGAAAAATAGAATGACGTATAAATTAGAAAGTATTAGAACATATTGAAAACATAAGAAACAGGATATAATGAGTGTTCATCCAAGTATTCAACAAGTTTCTTATAATTTATTAAAAAACTAAAATGCAAAATAAAAGTTATCAATTATCTATCTAAGTAACAATCACGATCTAACTGGGTGCTTAGGTGAGTCTAGGCAGGCTAGGCGGGCGCCTAAACATGTATGTGTGCCCTTTCTTAATTTTAACGTCTATGAATTAATTGAGACAATGACAAACCACCTAGCGCCAAAGAAGGCATAGGCGGTTCTAGGTTGCGATTTTTAGAACATTAATTAACATAATTATGAGCTATTGAATCAATCTACTTCTAATTAGCTAGGTAAATTACATTACATTTATTTATGTGTTAAAGTCCATATGATATATTACATAACTCATCGAGTGTGTGAGATATATGAATGATGAGCAAATATACTGTATACACTTCAATAATATAATTAGATATGCACTTACCATACCACTTGGCGAGCTCTTCGTCAGCGGGAGCAACAGCCTTGGCCTTGGGAGGTGGTGCGGCCTTCTTCTTGGAGAAGAGTGCGACTGTCTTGAAGGTGGCTTGGGTGTTGGCTGAAGGGGCCAACCTCGCTGCCCCGGTGAAGTTGATCAGGCTGTTTCCGAGCAATTCAGACATGCCGAGGGAGGCGGCCGCTGTCGATGCTGCCAGAGAAGCCATTTGAATATCAGTCTCAACTACACGTACTGGCCACGTCCTTCCCGGCCAGGAGACTCTCTCCCTATCTCAGTACTGCGAAGTAATGGAAAACAATGACTGAGAAGGGAATACTATAAGCTTGAGCTTGTGGATGTCGACCTGCCACGTTGGATTTTTGTTTGCTGGCTTTGATTGGCTAACCTTGAATCCGCGCAATCCATTCCTATGATTTCATAGGATGGATTTGCTGATTTGGCAGATGATGCTGCTGACGTGGGATGCTCTTGAAATTCCAGGGATAACATCTTGTATCCGAAAATGTTGATAATGAATTGGTCTGCCTTTCTTTTTCTCTCTCTATCTCGGGTCTCAGCCGTGCATTCTTTTTTCCTGTGCAAAATTTTACCACAAATAGCCAATCCCAAGACAGACGCACAAGTGAAGTGAGTGCTTTCACAGTTTCGCTTCTCATTTTCCCTCCTTGTCTTTTCTATCAAGACATTACTGTTTATTGTCATCCCCCTTCATCACATACTGCCAATGCAGTGGGAACGCACACTCGAGTAAGATACCATTCACTGAGTCCATTTTAAATGCCAACTTACTTTTTTTAATGGAGGAGTTAGATTGTAGCAAATGGTTTAGAGCAAGGGAAGTAATTTACACTCCCTCTTTCACCTCCGGCATTCCCCTCCTCAATTTTAGTTGTTTATTCTCCTCTAAATTATTCAATCTAACGGCTAAAAAAAAGGAGAGTATTGCTTTAGCTGAGATTAGAGGGCCATGACTAGGGCAAATTGGTAAAAGTTCCCGCCAATGAGATAAAGGGCATTTCCCTTCAGCACAAAGGCTAACCAATAAGGTCCTTACAAGAATCCAGGACCAAATAATTTGCAGGTCATATACACAATCAACCCCAAAAAGAATGTAATAAAAAGCATAAGGCCTGAATACAGATTTAGTACTGTAGCGACAATTGCTGTCCTGCGTAAGTCCATTCATAAAGATTCAAACTTTCTTTACCCTAAGTTCAAAAGTTGTGTATCTTGCACAAATGACAATAGGCAAATCATGAAGGAAGACTTTTAGAGAAGTACAAACCACAAAGCTACATGTTGAAATCCTAAAGACAAGTAATGCGAGTCACAAGTGTTTTCTTCAATGGCAGTGTACAGAATCATAAGCATTGGTATGCCTCGACAATGGAGATATACACTACATGTCTTAGTAATCCCCATTCCCAAACATGCATATTTTTATAACTTAGCTTTGTATATTATAAATCATATTCATTCCAAATATACACTGAGAATGAACTCATAAAAAACTCACAAAAGCAACCTCATCTTCTCCACTTCTCCATCTCTCTTGTAGTAGCTCTGACAAGTTTCTTCGTATTATCAACAAGCTCCTCAACAAGTGCACCAATATCATCCCTAATAAGATCAAGGAATAATGAAAATACATTCATACACACATGCATTTCAATTACAAAATTATCACCTGAAAAAATTTAACAGCAGAAAAGTACCATACAAAATATTTTTATTTTAGTTTAAACTATTTTGAATGTTCCGCTTCATTTGGTAACTTGATCCATAGTCCGGTAGATGAGGTCCTACTGTTCTCCGTCAACTAAGACATCAGATTCCCATTGCTTTACATTTTTACTTTTCAAGGTTACATGAGTTTGTTGTAAAAGTTGCGATATCATATGCATCAAAGAAACAGCGGTGTTCCCAGTTTCAGTTGTTGCATTCCCTAATTAATTAGGGAACTGTTATTGGCACTCCAAAAATCTCATTCTACACTCCAAACTTTCTATATTTGGAAAGAAAAATATACTTGTGAGGAGTTAGAATGAAATTTTTGGAGTGCCAATTATACTTCCCATTAATTAATTTGATAGCTATTCAGCTTTGTTTTTCATTCTTTCTGTTTCGTTTCATATGGTTTATGTTCTACATTTCTGAAAAGTAAGAAGGAATCATCAGAAAATGAGTGAAATTGAATTGATATATAGCAAAACACAGTATGCAGAAGTAAAGGAATGATGAATAAAACAAACTTACTGAGTAGCAGGAGAAATGCCGACATTTTCACCACGAAAAAGGTTGCCTACATTAGAGTATCTGCGATTGTCATCGTAAGCAATGCCCCTTCCGACACCGTAGCCGAATCCTAAGCCGACCCCGCATCCAGCACCAAGGCCAAAGCCAACTTGCAAGCCAGGAATCCCAGGACCAAATCCTGCGCCTGGACGATTGGAATTTTAAAAACCAATAACCAATACGGCATTAAGCATATACGTGATTTGCATAAACATAATGTAGCAACACCAGCGTAAGCACGAAATCGCCACTGAAGTTGCAGCAGCGGTGTCTGATTTAAGGAATGCTTAGCTTTTACTAATTAAATAAATTAAACTAATAAATAGACGGACCCAAATTGAATAGCTATAACCTGTAGTCTATAGAGCTAGCTCGCTACAACATAGTTAGTTAGGTGGTGTAGTTGGCAGGATATACAGCACTGAAAACTCAACTTAACGTCAGAGAGAAAAAGAGGGAGGGAGGGAGTACCGCCGAGGAGGCCGATGCCGAAACCTAAGCCGCAGCCAGCGCCGAGGCCAAAGGCGGGACCCACCTTCCCTAGTTGCTGGGTTCTGAGGATTGGAAGCTTCCACAACAAACCTTTCCCCGCTCCTCCATCATCTTCTCTGCTCCCCCTGCTGCCCATCATCCCAAATTCTCTCTCTCTCTCTCTCTCTCTCTCTGTGTCCCCTCTGATTCTGGTTCTGATTTCTTCCGAGTCTGGCTGATCACCTCAAAGGAAGAAACGGTTTGTGCCTCTGCCCAAGGAAGGCCCACGGCCCATTTTATTTCTGTCTTTTATTTAGGTTTCGGCACGGCCCAAAACCAAAACCAAAACAAAAGAAAACAAAGGAAGAAAGATTGTTTACATATATTTGTACCTGTTGCGTCCGCCACCCTCGGCCGTTGCCGCCACTCCATTCAGCCGGCAAGAATTAAGTAAGGACAGACGGCAGTAGCACAAGAAGGAAGAAGCAGCAGCATGAGTAATAGTAGTTTGTGGGCAACTGCAAACACAAACCCGGCGGCGGCGGTGAGAGTGAAGCGATTGAATTTGAACCAGAAGTACTACTACAGCAGCAGCATTTCGTATTCCTCCTCCTCATCCTCCTCCTCCTTCACGGGGTGCCCCCTGCGAATGAGAATGGGAAAGAGGGCGCATATGGCTACGGCTTCTAATTGCCTTCATCACGAGCAGGAGGACCATCTCCTCTCCTTGTTGCAGGTACCTAGGTCTCCCTCTCCCACTGACCTAATTCTCCTTTTTATTTAGTTATTAATTAATTAATTCAAGTTCGAATCTTTGTTTGCAGATTCTTCCGCGTGATTTGCATGACAATTTGCTCAATCAACCCCAACCCAAACGAGCTCAACTCTTAGAGGTCTCATCTCGTCTCATTTAATTACTCCTTCTGGTTTCTATTATTATATCTTCGGATTAATTGCACTCTTCACTTGTATCAATCGCTTGACTTGTTTAAAATATTCTTCAAATTATAGAAACATAGAATAGAAACATAACAATTAACAAGGCAGGGCCCTGCTGCAAATGCAAATGGTTGATTATCTAATGTTGTTTCTGTGTACCATATATAGGTTATAATGGATTTGGGTCGACTGCCCGAAGCACGCTACCTTGATGATCTTGGCGCCCAATATTTGAGGACAACTGCGGTACTACCCCATACTTTTGAGCTTCTAAATTGTACACACACACTCCCTCCCCCCAACACCCACACTATTTTAAACAAGAAGCAAAAAAATAATACTGATGTGTTCAAAATATCCGTTACTCAGGTTTCATTGAAAGAGTTGGAGGATGCTCAAAATGCTGTTGGAGATTTTGGGGGGGACAATAGAGCTGGCATTGCGGGTACCTTGCACAGAATATCAGCAATCAGGAGTAGGAAAGGGATGATTGTTGGATTAACTTGCCAAGTTGGCAGGGCTGTATCTGGTCATATTGACATGGTTTACGATCTGCTTCAATACAGCAAGAGCATCTTGTTTATCGGAAGGTAAAGTTATCTGATTCTTTTTAAAGTGGTTTTTCTGGTGTAAAGATAGCTAGAACTGGATGTGATTTGTTTCTAAGGGTCTAAGTAGTTGAAAAACAGTATTAACAAATAATGAAACAAGAAGAGTGGATGTATTGCAAACATTGATGTTAAAAATGAACATCACTGTGACTCACTAAAGAATAACTTATTGATTGATACCAAATTTCCAAAAGGCACTTGTAGTTATTAACATATTTCTAAGCTATTTGATATATATAACTTCTTAGTGAAGATGCCCTTCAATTTGTAAAGGCCCGGGGTTGGTAAGACCACTGTTTTGCGAGAGATTGCTCGAGTCATGTCAGATGAATATCACAAAAGAGTGGTACGTGGAGTTTTTTTCTTTCCCTTTTTATGGTGCCAACTTCCTCCCTCCCCCTCTTTCTCTCTCTCATGTTATAAGTGTTTGCATCTGTATTTCATTACATGATTCAAAAGAACGCTAACACTACTGGGATAGGTAATTATTGATACAAGCAATGAAATAGGAGGGGATGGAAATATTCCACATGCAGCAATAGGACGGGCACGGAGAATGCAGGTAACAGAACCATCCATGCAGCACAAAGTTATGATTGAGGCAGTTGAAAACCACATGCCTGAAGTGATCATTGTTGATGAGATTGGCACGGAATCTGAAGCTCTTGCTTGTCGCTCGATTGCCGAGAGAGGGGTCATTCTTATTGCTACTGCTCATGGGCAGAAGCTTGAGAATATAATAAAGAATCCTACTCTAACTGATCTGGTTTGTTCTGGTCTCTATAAAAAGACACATGTAGAATTATTTTTGCTTGAGGTCCTCTTTACATTTGAGACATAATTTTTGAGTCTGAACTGTCTTCTCGTTATTGCATATTGTATTGCCCTAGATAATATCAGATAAAGATCAAAATTCTTAAAGACATAATAAAGGAGGTTATTAAGGGGGAATCTGGATGGTTAATACACCAATTTCCATGTTTGGTTATTGGTATGGAAGTTTGTAGTAATTTGTAATTCAGAAGGCTAATATTTTTCTTTTATTTTTTTTCCAGGTAGCTCTGATTTGTTCCCGGATGCTAATATTAAAAAACTTGCACAAAAATAGCATCATATTGAAAATTATGTTTTGTGCATCAAGAACTCTTTTTTTTCGTTGCTTATATTTGAGTTGTCCTTTCAAGTTCATAATCAATGATCTATCAAGAAGAAAGATGATCTCTTTGGGCATGGAAGAATGATAGGCAAGGGAAAACAATGAGGGAAGCCCATTAGGATTCACTGAATATATCGGATGGTTTTGAGGGACTTAATTTATGCTCCCTTTCTTGCTAATGTATTAGAAAAATCCACAACACTCATTGGACAAAAGAAAAAATTTCGACGCGGTAATGGAACTTCTAATAGAAAAACTCTAAAGCTATCAACATGGCTTCATCATTTTACGTTGATGCCCTGCAGGATTACTTATCCTATATATACAGTACAGTCCCCCATGGCAGACATGATAGAAACTCTACGATGCGATTGAACTTGCTGGTTGTTTCTCCTATTTGTCTAAAGTAGTGATTATAGCAGTGTTGGCTTTTAAGAGAACGTGGAATAAATAATTTGATGCATGACTCTTTGGTCAAATTGCACTTCCAATTGTTATTTTCTGTTTTCAGGTTGGAGGAGTAGAAACTGTTACTTTAGGAGATGGAGAAGCCAAATCTAGAAAATGTCAGAAAACCATTCTTGAAAGACAAGCATCCCCAACATTTGAGTTCTTAATTGAGATGAGACAGAGGGACTATTGGGTTACACATCAGGTGCGTAAATCAATTTCTATCGTCACTTTAAAATTTAATCTCAGGCATTATTGTGCTTGAATATGGATTGCTGAAACTGTACACTCAAAGTTTAATTGCAAAAAGTTAATGTAGGGGAACTTTAGAAGTATTTGTTTCAACCTCTCTATCCCTTTGGAAAGTACCAAGTATCATGCTTTTTATGTCTTTGTGTGATTATATGTTTGGATCAAGAAACTACCACCGTGTCTTCTTGAATGTAAACCTATCTGCTATAAAATTACTTGTTTCCTTTATAGACACATGCTACTGTTTACATTGGATGGAAATCTAAATCTAATTGTTAAAAGGTTAAAGGCTTAGAGCATGTAAATAAATGACATTTTCTCTGTTTATAATTGTTCAATTTTCACCATATTCTAAACCTTTGGATGGAAATCTAATGGTTCAAACAACTCTACTCTCTCTCTCTGTGTTTATAATTGTTCAATTTTCACCATATTATAAACCTTTGGATGGAAATCTAATGGTTCAAACAACAATTCTCTCTCTCTCTCTCTCTCTCTCTCTCACACACACACACACACACAGAGACAGTGCTCCTAGCTTTCTACAATAACTTGTTCACTTCATATAATATTTCTTTTTCCTTTTCATTCTCATCTGGCAGACAGAAAAGAGTGTAGACCTTTTGCTCCGGGGAAAAATCCCACAGGTCGAGGTAATTTTCTCATGTTGTATATTCTGACATCTAATGGATTTAATTAGAAGTTCCGTTTCGAATATGAAAATTTACTCTTTCCCCCAGGGTTTTACTGATTATAACTCTATAACATTGAAAATTTTATAGCAACCAAATTCAGATTAAATCAAGACACATAATTATTTAAGTTACTTATTTCTATCTTTGAGGTCTTACCTCAAAGATCATGTCTACCAAAAATCACGCAAGTCCGAAACCATATGACCAGTGGATCAAATTTAGTGTGTCTTTGTAGAATTGTATTCGTCTGTTTTCTTCGATGCAAATGAATGTCTTAATGGTTTTGGATTTGTCTAGTTTTTTGCAAGGATGATCTATGGATGATGTACTAAAATATAGAAGGTTGGATAGTTGAAATACATAGTGGGCCCCATAAAAACGAGTGTCAAACGCATGTCCCCACAAAACAGCTTTGTCACTCCTTTCGGACATTACGAATGGAATGTAATGCCATTTGGATTAAAGATTGCACCCAATGAATTTTAAAACATTATGAACACAATATTTAATTCATAGTCATTTTTCCATAGTCTACATAGATGATGTCCTCATCTTCTCAAAATCAATCGATGAACATTGGAAACACTTAAACATGTTTGTCAAAATAATAAAGTCAAAGGGATTAGGTGTTTCAGCAACAAAATAAAATTGTTCCAAACAAAAATAAAGATTCTTAGGATACAATATCCCCCAGTCAACTATCCAGCCCATAGACAGAGGAGTAGTTCTCTTCTTTGTATGTTTTCTTTTAACTTAATGTCAACATTTAATGTTTTCCAATATATTTTAAACGGTTTATTTAAAACTAATAGTTGTTGGTTTACTCAAAATCAGTTGTTGGTGATGTTTGTTCTTCCTGAAGAGTTTTAGTTTGACTTGGGTTTTCGTAAGAGGGATGAGTAACCTGAGAGTTTGTTTTAATTGATTTAAGCCTCATATTTACTAAATCATTAATTAGTTCTTGGTCACGACCTAACATGTCTGTTGAAGCGGATCCTGAAACAGAGTTTCTAACTGGTTCTTTAAACCTAGTGGATTGACTTAATTCGTGAAGTTGGACACTGGACTTGCTAGCTGGAGGGTTAAAATGGATTTTAACTGTACCATCAAAGTATTGTTGTATGTTGTCTAGGTTGACTAAGTTGTTTTGGATGTCTATTGGTTTACTTTCGTTGGTTAAAGACCAATCTGAGGGTGGACAAATTTCTGACCACTTAATTGTTCTTGGTATTATGATGTTGGCGTTTTGATTACTTTGGATTAATAGAGGTTGATCTTTTGGGCTTTTAATTATAGCTTGGAAAATCATTTTGGTGCCTATGCATGTGTAATGATCTCTGTATATTAGAGCTAGTGGTTGGATTCCTTCTAAGACTTGATAATAAGAGGTTTTTATGTTTAATGTGAGTCTGAAAGACTTACCGTGACATATGGGTAACAGTCAAAATGGATTGGCCCATTGTATAAACTTGAGAGTCAATCATTCCAAGAATTCCATCACTAAAGTTAGTGAATTTGGCATCTCGGAGACATAACAAAATAGAGGTGTTGAGACCTCTTCTTGTTAATGGTTTTACTGTGATCTGTAGTAGACTAATATGAATATATTTATGACTGTCTTTTCTATGAGCGTTTATTTGTTCTGAAGTGAATAACTGAGAGGTTTCATGTTCTTTACTAAGAGCATAAGCTTGCTAGATTGTTCTTACATGGTGTTCACTTTTAAATGAAGAGATTGACAATTTCTTTCTATGAATTTCTTTACTAGATATTTTGGGGATATTCCAATCACCAAAATCAACACTTTCAAATTCTCACGTTTGTTCTTCATTTACTATGTCTGGTGTCATATTTAGACTAGACCTAGAGCTAATACTGGCAGATGAATTAGTCCTAAATAGTCTTTTGATTTTTGTGGAGGGTAATAATAAACTAAATCCCTGAACGGGTACTTGAACCTCTCTCCTGACTAATTTTAACTAAATTTCTGAGTTTACAGGTATAAAATAAATTATCTAAATATTGGAAATTTTGGACTTACATGATTTTCTCTCTCTCCGCTCATGCTGCTCCGCTCGGGCAACAAACTCAAAAATTATCGTTTGGATACAGTATCTTGTTTGTTTGAGAGGGGAAAATCAGACAGATGAGAAACAAATAAACAGATTAGATATTGAATAACTGATGATACCAGCCACTTGGGCACAATGAATAGACTTTAAATGACTAACCCAATTACCAACCACTTGGCTCTGATACCAGGCCACTCACCGAAGCAAGTAATCATGCCAGATATGTGTAGTTTGCTCAAAAAAGCGAAGACCTATCCGACCTTAAAGCATACATCATTCTTAACTTCCCAGTTCTGCATTGAGGCTAAACTTTTTAGTATTTCTTCAGTTTGCCCCAATAATGATCCATCTTTGGTAAATATGCCAAATAGCCTTTGATCTGTTGATGACAACTTCATTTTCCTTTGTCAACCCAACAAGGTCATATTCCATATTGTTTTTATATTAAAGTTTGTGATTTAATTGAACATACGGTTGATGCAAGTTATAATCCAAATCATAATTTGCTAGGATGAGGATGCAGCGTTTTCTTGTTCCCTTATTTCTGATTTTCTCTCAAGCTGTCTAGCTAAACCATTAAAGATTATTGTTTTGCAGGTCAGGACAAGGGATAGGGAGTTGAAGTTTGTGATAGAAAGATCAAAGGCATATGACCAGTGTGATGCGTAATATGTGCTTCATTTTCTCGAGATCGACGACTTATCTATCCGTTTAGCTTCTGCGTATCATTGTTGGCTAGGAACATAACACATCAGTTGTCATTTTCTTAGTCAAAGTCCAAAAATAAAATTTCTTTGCATTGCTTTTTCATTAAGGCCAAAAGGGATTTCACCAACTGGTAAAAGAAAAATAAGAAAAAAAAAAAGGAAAAAAAGAACAGGCCAGAAGAGCCGTTTGCAGATGGTATATTTGCTTTTTGGCAAGCACTCCAGATGAGACATCGTGACACAACATGAAAATGTCATGTTTTGGATCAACATGATAAATAATCGGGTCGTTATCGGGTGATTCGTTAATAATGGGTATGCGGGAAGCCTATGGGTAATCTGTTTAGACCTGTTGAGAAAAAATTTATTTTGATAATTTTAAAGTTTACTAAAAAAACTTATTATATACAACAGCCATAGTGTATATGTTGTATATTAAATATGTATTATTGAATTATTATTCTATATAAGTTAAGAAAAATTAAGTTTTATTTATTTATTTATTTTATTATGAGAGTTTTTTATTATCATTACTAGGATAAATTTTACTTGATATTTTACTAAAATTAAATTAAATAGTATAGTATTAGCATAGGCAAAAAGACAGATCTACAAGTGAAAAATGTTAAAGAATATACACTTGTGATTTTATTCTTCCACCATGAGTAGACAATGTTGCACATATATTGTTGTTTAGATTTTAAAAACCCTCCAAACCCTCATGAATAGTGTTTTGTATTTGAGTGCAAAATTAAGAAAATTTGTAATAATTATTGTAGAATGCAAAAAATATATACATAAATATATATACAGTCACTCATAATGTCAAGTTTTACAACTTTCGTGAAGAGGTCAACTTCGAATTTTGTTACCATATTCCATAAAACTTAGATTTCTATTTTAAAGTTTTTCAAATTTTCTTTTTTGAAAACATGATTCTCTAGCGGATGTAGAAAAATAAATATTTCAGATGGTTGATATCACATTCCAATATTTACGACTAACTGAAGTTGACATAGTTTGTAGAGACTTTATAAACTCCGAGTAATATTTTCTCTAATACTAAAACTTTGAATATAGTATCAACGATCTGAACAACTCATATTTCTACATCCTCTAATAGATTATGTTTTCAAAAAATAAAATCTAAAATAAAACAAAATTTGGTGAGAAAAATAAAGCGTAAATATAAATGACAATCAATGGTTTATGTGATTATAGTGGCGAATTTCGAAGTTGAGCCTTTCATGAAAGTTATAAAGTTTGCCATTACAAGTGTTAATATATATATATATATATATATATATATATATATGTGACGACCCGTCTTGAATAATTATATATTTTATCCTCGAATGCGTGAAAATGACGATTATGCCTTCGAGACTTACTGACGTGGATGTATGTATATAGTTTTAAATTATTTTTCCGCTAAGGTGATCAATTAGACTAGACATCACGAGTGTGTTGATGCGAATTAGGGCTGAATTGGATCCGTAACGAAATCATTAAGGATGAATAAGTGAGATTGGATTGGTTTTAATTCTATTTGGACCAATTAGCTAGGCTCGAAATCTCATAACCCAATTAGGGCTTGAGGCAATTTTAAAGTGGCCAAACCGTGACCACACACGCACGCACACACGCACACACACACACACACACACACACACACACACACACACACACAAACGTAACCCACCTTCACCATTTTTCTCAAATTTTCTTCTTTGTCCGTACAACCGAAGACATCACACTCAAATTGAACCAAAACCTCACAGATTGAACTTGTAAGGATGACCTTCGATTCCTTGCAAGCCTGCGAGTCTAACCATACTATTTGTTCATAGAAAGGACGTCGGAATCATGAAGAACCATAAGCTCCGGCGAGGTACCTTGTTACTCCGACATGATCGTGGGCATTTCACAAGATTTTAAGGTTCAAAAAGGGTCCTAAACGATTCTATAAGGATCCTAGTCTAATTTTGGAGCAGTTAGAATGTCAAAATACTCGAGTTTATCGAGTTTCAAGTTTGGCCGGTTGTGTCGAGCTATTTTCCGACTGTTTCCCATTGGTTTTAGGACCTTTAAGAGGTAAGGATTTGTTCCCCTTGTTGAGAGTTTTAAATCCATATAAAACTTGTGAAGTTTGGTGTTGAAACGAAGTAGAAATTCAAATTTTAAAATTTTCCAAAACCAGCAATGTAGCGATGACTGGTGCCGAATTTCGGACGAAGCCACCAAAGAAGACAATGAATATTCCATCAACTTTGACAGAATATACTAATGGCGTTAGGTATATTTAATGGAAAATTCTATTATTTAACAGAATATTCCCTGACGGCTTTAAAGATTCCGTCCATGTGCCAAGCATGTGCCTGCGCGTGAACGGCGCGTGGGACATCAGAAAATTATTCTAAAAATATGGGGATGCTTTTGGTGTTGAGTAGGCCACGATGGTATATTCAAACACCCCAATTGAGCAACGTATGAGAAATTATTACATGGTTTTGGTTATGTACTTAAAATTAACGTTAAAATAAGGGTTTCACATATAGGTGAGACATTTCTAGAGGACGAGCGTAGTCAGGCGAGACTCGGGGGTTACGATCCAGCTACATACTAGTGAGTGGGCTTTTGATTTTCTATATATACGTATATATGCTTGCATTTTCCCAGAAAGTTGTTTTAAATGGAGTTATGATTTTAAATGACATGTCAATTGCATTATGCTTTAGTGTACACATTAGTATAGATATTCATATTGTTGCTTGATGCTGCGAAAGCCCAGGTAAGCTTTAGGTGAGTATATATTGATGATAGTGGATGCATTGTTTGTGGTTATACATAGATGCATTTAGAGCTCATTATCTTGCACCTCAGTACTAGTGCTCCTGCCTGTGGCCGAGGCATAGTCCTTCATGTGATGTTCAACTCCTACACCGCATGCTCACCTTGGATCCAAGTTTGGTGCACAACCCTATCATACAAACCACATTAGGTGGTTCCAACTCGTAGGTGACCAGCGATTATTCGCACAGCCTTCACGTGATTGTAGCACTTGAGCATATTTATTTGCACCTAGCCCTGTCATACAGACCACAATAGGTGGTTCCGACTCCTGTGTAGGCATATCTGATGAGCTATAGGTTCAGCCGTACAGGTTACGTTAGGTGACTCCGGTTGACATATTATTTTACATTGATTTATTTCACCTGGCTTACTCATTTCCATACTGGGACACTTGACATGGCATATATTTGATTTTTACTACTCTCAAGCGTGATTTTTATATACGTATGTTTTTTTATTTTATGGGAAACTATACGGGTTTTACAGTGAGGGGTTATTACTTTTGGAAAGAGAAATGGTTTTGAAAAGCTTTGTTTTTGCCCACTCACGTTTTCTATTTTGCGCCCCTCTAGGTTCTAGATAGAAGTGCGTGTTGGTGGCTCACGAGGACTTTACGGCAGTTCTGACAAATATCCATCAAAGTGGGGTTTCCTTTTATACCCTATATAATTAGTATTTAGCCTGCTGGACTGCACCTTGGTACCTACGCTATGATTATGTGTATCTACACTCTAATACTTCTTCTTGCACTTATTTACTTGTCTTGTGTGCATTAGTTAATTGGTTTTCGATTTCTCACATTTTCATATTACTGTCACTTCTGCATTGCGCACATGGCTACGTCACCATCACGAGACGGCCAACATGCCTCAATTTAGGTCGGAGTGTGTCATATATATATATATATATATATATATTTTTTTTTTTTTCTCTTCCACACTTCTGCAATAATTAATATGAATTTTATTAATTTTGCACTAAAATAAAAACATTATTCATGGGGGGTTTGGGCTTTAAAAATCTAAAAAATGATATAAGTATAATCATTGTCTACTCGTGGAGGAAGGATGCAATCATAAGTGTTTATATATATTTTCACATTTTTTGTAAATCCTTTGAAAATTTGATATTTTGTAATGTACTAATTTTTTTTTTTTCATTATGCTCTTATTTTGGGTATGCAATACTTGAAACACAAATGTGTCTTTATGTTTTGAATGTGACAATGTAGTATATATATACTAATTTAATATTATGTTTTTCATTTGCTTATTTATTGGTTTAAAATATATTTTTCTTTAACAGGTAACGGATCGGGTTATTCTAGGTCGGGTCATATTACCTGTTTATTTTAATAAGTGTTACACGATACGACTCGTTAAGATATCGAGTATGACAAGAAAATGACACGAACACAGAAAATATGACACGAATGCCAGGTCTAATTTTTGGCCACTTCAATTTCTCATGGACAGGGTACTCTGACCACTCGAGAAACTATAAGTTGAGCTTCCGTGTCCATGCTTGGAGATGTGTAATCATGCACGCATGTATACTGCATACATATACATACATACATACACACATACATGTAAACGAACATACATACATACATACATACATACATACATGTACATACATACTTTACATAACCATCGTAGATAAAACACATTAGGCGACGTAGGAAACGGCCAGGCTTTGGACCCTTTGGTTGGCCGGCATGTCGTCGCACGCATATTTTCGGACATTTTTTAACTTTTAAATTGCATAGTTTATTGATTCATGCTTTGGTGCTATAAGTAAGCGATTCTTTGTCTCTCCCCACTCCCTCTCCAACCTAATTTGTTTAACCCGTATTTACTCTCATGCAAACTAGTTTAGTTTGGTCACCTTTCCAATATGGCACTTTGAATAGGCAAGGGATAAACACATTTTTTTTTTCTTTCACACACTTCTGTTTAATCTTGTGTGAAAGGTTAAAAAGAGTGAAAATCAGTTCCAGTAAAGAATATGGTGAGCAAGTGTTTTACTTGGTTCAACTTCCAAATTTTTAATCAATTGCCGGCCGCATGCACATTATCCTTACATTGATCTCTTCATCTGTTTGTCCTCAATGCATCACGTATTCTCATATATGTTTTTTTTCCTCTTCTCCATTAAAATTAAAAATCCACCTTTTTTGTTTCTTTTGGCTCCATATACACATATATAGGAGCTTCAGAAATTGACTAAGGAACCGATCGAGGTAGT